TGGGGCTCCCCTTGGCGCTTCTTTAATATGTGGACATTGCACGAGAACTTCTTGCCGTGTGTTACCGACGGAGCCATGTCGGTAGGGGATCGAGGCAATTTTGCCTCACTATTAACCTCAAGAACCTCAAGTGCTGGCTCAAGGCCCTCAATGAGAAATCTTTCTCCCATATCTCCACCCGAGCCAATGAAGCTAAAGCCGCATTCAAGGAAGCTCAACAATTGTTATACGACCATCCGGGCGACCTCGACATCAAGTCTAAGTTGGGCCCTCTTAGACTCCAAGATCTCAACTTGGCCAAAGCGGAAAGCTCTTCTTTCAACAAAAGGTCAAATGCAACTTTCAAATTAAAGGAGACAAATGCACAAAGTTCTATCATAGCTTGGTTAAGAAGAGAGCGAAAAGGAACTACATTGCATCTACCACGCGAAAGGATGGTACTCTAACCGAATCCATGGAGGACGTTACAAGAGAATTCACTCGATATTACGAGGCTCTCTTGGGAACTGGGGTCGATACGGAGGATGTTGATCCGCAAATCCTACGTTCGGGGTCGATCCTTAGCCCCGAGCAATGTAGCACTCTAATTTCCCCAGTAACCGAAGAGGAGATCAAGTCCACCCTTAGAGGCATTGAGGGAGGTAAGTCCCCGGGCCCGGATGGATACACTTCTACATTTTTCTGAAAGAGTTGGGAAGTTGTTGGCAAAGATGTTGTGGCGGTAATTCAAGAATTCTTTCGCTCCGGATCCATCCTAAAACAATGGAACCATACCGACATCACACTAGTCCTGAAGTCCTTCCACTCATCCTGAGTAATGGACTTCCGGCCTATCGCATGTTGTAATACCGTCTATAAGATATGCTCTAAAATTCTTGCTCGAAAAATTAGTGAAGTTCATGATACTATTGTTGATGAAGCTCAAGCCGCGTTTGTGAAGAGGAGGAATATGACGGACAATATCCACCTCATGCAACAATTACTCCGACAATATTTGAGGAAAAGAGTATCCCCGAGATGCTTAATCAAGATCGAACTCTGCAAAGCATTCGATTTCGTCTCTTGGGCCTTCTTGAAGCAAATGCTTGAGGGCTTAGGCTTCCCGCTGGCTTTCTCTAAGTGGATCATGGAGTGCGTCACTACACCCACATACTCCCTATCCATCAACGGAAGCCTTAAAGGTTATTTCAAAGGTTCTCGCGGACTAAGTCAAGTGACCCGCTCTCTCCTTTCCTTTTCGTTCTTTGCATGGAATACCTCTCTAGACCCATCAAATGAAACACGGCGGATAACCCAAAATTCAAATCCTATGTGTGAGAAGCTAAAAATATCCCACTTAGTCTTCGCCGATGACCTCATGCTCCTCTCCCGGGGGGACTCGGGGTCAATCCAAGTGCTCATGGATTGCTTAAGAGACTTTGGGGTGAAATCAGGGCTCGAAATGAATGTGCTTAAGTCCAATATCTACTTGGCCGGTGTTAAAGAGCAAGACCGAGAGTCAATCCTTGATGACGCTAATTTGAAAAGCAGGCCTATACCATTTCGGTACCTTGGAGTTCCCCTTACTGCAGATCGAATCACTGGGAGGCTATATGATTAATCAAATTGATAGCCAACTTAGTGGGTGGAGGAGTCATACCCTCTCTTATGCCAGTAGATTGGAATTAATTAGATCGGTCATTCAAGGCATTGCTTGCTTTTGGATGAGCATCTTCCACTTGCCGGGAATTGTTCGCACCAAAATCATCCAACTTTGTAGGAGGTATTTATGGGGTTCTGAAAAAGCCCCCGTTGCTTGGGATACTTTGTGTACGCCCCGATCGGAAGGAGGATTGGGTCTTCAGAACTTGGATGCTTGGAACCGAGCCCTCCTCATGATGACTCTTTGGAATATGCAAGCCAAGAAGGACTCTCTGTGGTACAAATGGATTCATAACATCTACTTAACGGAGAAAACAATTTGAGATTGGCAAGTATCCAAGAATGACTCTCCTCTCTTTAAATCTCTCTTTGAAGTCCGACAAGGCTTGATAGAGAAAGCGGTAGTGTTCATGGTGCGGAAGGCCTTCTCCGTACTTGGAGCTCTCGTGATAAACAAGATGGTACTAGCAAGTGCTATGATTTCTTCCGTCCTAAAGGTACCTAGAAGCCATGGACCGGGGTCGTTTGGGGGAGTTGCAACACCCCCAAGCACTCCTTCATCTTATGGCTTGGAGTGATGAATAGACTCCAAACGAGAGATCGCCTTGAGTTCCTCAATGAAGACCCGACTTGCCCCCTTTGTGGATTTGAAAACGAATCCTCGAAGCACCTCTTCTTCGAATGCCCCTTTAGCTTGGAAATATGGAGTGAAATTCGAACTTGGGTGAGCCTCCGACATAGGCCAATCACACTCAAGGGAGCCCTTAAATGGAGCAAAAAAGAAGGAAAAAACACGTCTTGGAGAGCCAAATTGAAGAAAGCGGCTCTTGCGGCAACCGTGTACTTTATTTGGAATGCGAGGAACCGGTTGATCTTTGAGAATGAAAGCCAACCTCGAAGCCTCGTGATTAGAAAGGTAAAGACCCATGTCTATCGATCTATCTTTGCTATTTACCCGAGTGTTTTGGCCGAATTCGAGAGGAAGTGTCTTGGTAATTTTTGAGTTGGTTGTTGTGAAGTGGGTTGCACTTGGACGATTTTGTTACACGAGTGAGCAATCGGTTTGTGGTTGTCCTCGTTATTTTTGTTCTTGCGAGTGAGGAGCCGACTTGTGGCTACCCGCTACACTCTTGAAATCCGTTTTGGTTGTATGACTTTACATTTTGATCAATATAAATTTATTTAACGATAAAAAACATATAATAAATTCATTAATATTATGAAAGCAACATTACCCGCTCATGCTCATCGGCATGGATTGAACTCCATCATTTGGTCTTTCATTTCTTCCAATGTCCGGGCTTTCATTTATTTCAATGGCAACTATCTCTACAATATTTATTTTCCAACAAACATATAACCGAATCATGCTTTTTATGCCCTCATCATCGGACAAACTAATTCTCTCTCTCTCTCTCTCTATCTCTCTCTCTCTTTTGGCTTTGGCGCAATATAGTTTAACATGACGGTTTCCAAACTAACAATCGGCCACCTCTTAGCAATGAGAGTGTACACTTCGTCAAGAGTTGATTCAATGTTCATAGAGAACACATACATTTCATCTTTTTAGGTACAACTCCCTAATATATCACTTTGTGCCCTTTCCATGTATCTAACAATAACTAGATAAAAACAAAAAAAGTTCACATTTTCTAGAACATATGGTACCAACAGTGAGCAAAGTGGTACTATATATACAAACAGAGGTTCACAAATCATGAATAGTGGTATTCTGATTATTCTCATCTTATTTTTTTGTTTTATGGTGAATAACACCTAACACAATCTAACAATAGCATAAATTTAGTAGACATGAACAACAAAAAAGGATATGATCACTTTATTTGTTTTAGGGTATATATAAACAACAATATTCAAAATTCAATCCTTCACAATTAAAAAAAAAATATGAATTAAAGATAATTTTGAACTCCAAAATTCTCATATAATACATACATTACTTACTACTTCAAGTTTTTGTCGGAAAAAGCCCCAATGATGCCGGAAAAATAAGAATTTTCGGGCGGAAAAATAGAAATTTTTTGCCGGAGAAGTAGGGATTTTCGGCCGGAAAAAGCCCCAATGTCGCCGGATTTGTTGCCTCCGGAAAATCCCAAGAGTCCGGTTTGTATTTGGTGTCGCCGGCGAGATGAAGCTGCAAAAAAAAAAAAAAAAA